ATCCGTTATCCTAGTCATGCTCAATCCACTGTACCATTGTTGGCCCCCAATAACATGGGTACCCCTAGCTGCCATTGATACCCATGTAAGCATGTCCTTACATTGGGGTTGTTGTAGGTTTTTCAGGCTGTATGGCCATTTTTTAGAAGCATTCTCTCCTGGCGTTTCAACAGACCTCAGAACCTCTGAGGATGCCTGCCATAGATGCAGGTGAAATGCCAGGAGAGAATGCTTCTAGAACATGGCCATACAACCTGAAAAACCTACAACAACTCAGTGATTCTGCCCATGAAAGCCTTCCACAAAACAATGTCCTTACATTCTACAAATTCTTGTTTCTTAATTCTTCATCAGGACCACAACTGTAAATCTGAAAGACACATTAGTAGATCAGCATTCAGAGCTATGTGGAGATGAGTGCTTAGCACAAACACAATACTTCTAAACACAAAGCCAATTAATTTGCCTTTGCATTGCACCTTGTCTTCTCAATACACTTGTGAAAGGGAAGCACAAAAACAAACAATGGTGAGTGTTGTTTTTTTAAAAGAGAGAGCTGGAGGTGGTTTCAGGGAGGCTTTGCTTCTCCTGATGCATGCACTTTTTTTAAAGTCCCAACCTTCCTCCTGGACACACAGGTTCTGCGGGTTCCTGAAACAATGCCAAGGCCTGCAAAACTTGTTTTCTGGTGACGAAAGTGAGATGAGTGTTCACACAATGAGCTGCAATCCCATCTGCTCCAACATTTCATAGATGCAAACCAGGAAATGTGTGGCTTAATATCATCAGAGTGTGGTCAGGATGGCAAAAATTATTAATGAGGAAAACACAAGCTAGTAAAGGCTGCCACAGATTGCTTTTGCCAGAGCCTACTGGGAAGTGTGACATATTTCCTCCTCTCCTTTATTTATCATTTTATATCTTTAATTTATATGCTGCCTTTCTCCTGGAGCTCAATCCAAGGCAGAGGTGTTAAATAACTGCAAACAACTTCTGTATTTTGACATCAGTTTGCATCAACTGAACTAAGCTGAGGACAAGGGCAAAGGGAGGAGAGAAAGTGATTTGACTCCTGGTCTCCATGTGGTCAGGGTTCAAATCCTGCTCAGCTATGGAAACCCACTGGGGATCCATCTATACTGCCCTATAATCCAGTTTCTGAATCCATTTCATCTGCTTTGAACTGGATTATAGGGCAGGGTATATTCATATAATCAAATCTAAAGCAGATAATGTGGATTCTGAAACTGGATTATATGGCAGTCTAGATACAGCCTGGGTGACCTTAGGCAAGTCACACTCTCTATGGCTGGATCTACACTGCCATATAATCAAGTTTCAGAATGCAGATTAACTCAAACTGAATTATATGGCAATGTAGACTGAGAGCCCTACTACACAGGCCCTAAAATCCGAGAGAAACCGGGCTAAAAGTGGCTAGATGATTCTTGCCGAAAATGTGTGCTGAATCACACCAGTGGCTGAAAAACACAAGTTGAAAAGGTGCGCTTAAAATCTGAGTTTGGACGAAAAATAAGCATATTCGTATCATTGTATATCCCTGCACTCACAAAAAATATGGCACTTCATTGTGATATGCTGGTGTGGACTGCTCCAGCGCATGTGCACATTTTAAAATCCCAAAACAGCTGATGAAAGTTGTATACAGATGGAGCCACTGACACATAGGTGGCTGAATGGAAGCACAAATGGAAAGCACTTCCCATGAGAATTCACTGCAACCATTCATTTGTTTTCATATTTATAAAATTAAACAGAGTTTGAATTTACACAGTGGGCACCACTATGGCAGGCAAGTGACTCCAAAGGAAAGCGAGATTCAAGAGGGTAAACATGAAGGCAGCAGGAGAGTGAGAAGAGATAATGAGAAGGAATCTGCTTGTGTGAACATGCATATATTTACATCAGCACTTATGAGGTCCAATGTATCTTGGAGAGTCAATTTTTTTAAAAAAGAAAAGAAAACTTCCAGCGGATGTCCCGCATCCATCTTACAGATTTTAAAAAATCCGCTACAAACAAACCTGTCAGGGTGCGAGGACTGACAGCTCCATGTTTGGACTCATTTTCAGCTGCTGTGATTTTTTTTTTTGCCTCACTTCTTTCTACTGGATTATCAAGCTGTCTGGAAGGGCCCTCATATAATCCAGTGCAATGCATTAAATCTTCATTCTGATGATATGGCAGTGCAGAGCCAGCCTTAGAATAAGGCAACAACAAACAGTCTCTGAATAAATCTTGCTAAGAAAACCTCTTGATAAGGTTGTGGTAATGCAGAGTTGACTTGAAGGCACATATCAACAATCAGCTATTAAATCTAGAGTGTTCTTTAAGCATTTGCTGTACCATGAAACTACGGCTTGGTTTCAACCACAGCTTTAATGTTGAACTGGGGTGGCTTCTTGTGTGTGAGACAAAAAAAAATGCATTATCAACAAAAATGAGGTCAAAGAGGATGTTAATTTGAATAAAATTAGCCTTTGCTAATATATACATATAAATTATATATAACTGGAGTTGTTGTCTGAAAATTTTTTTTTCAAAGCTCAGGTTTAACACTATTTTTGTTTTGTTTTCACATGGTGTAGACTTTTTTCACCATTTGCTTTCCTTCTATATTTAAAATTATCCCATATGTGAAACTACTCTCTTTCTTTCTTTCTCCATGATCAGAGGGAGATGGAATGACTTCTACATCCAGACTATCTTTTGTGGACAATGAAGTCCTAGACTTTTTTTTATGACTTCTTCCTCTGGTAGTTTTCCATTGCTGCAAAATGCCCGGAAGATCAATGTTTACGTTTTGGCCTTTCTGATCTTTCCACAAATGCCATTGCACAATCAGCATTTTTTTTGTAGGGGGAGCAGGAGGTATTGAGTGAGAAAAGTTGAACTTGTTGAAAGATTTAGTAGGGGTCAAGCAGCAGATGAGTGCACTAAAAGGCAAGTAAGGGCAGGTGGCTCAGACATTATCTCCCAAAGTCATTCTCCATCACTTGGGAAGTGTTGTCATCCATTATTATTCCAATAGTTTTGGAAGATGGGACTCTGTTAGTCCCATTTTATAGATGAGGGAATTAAGACAAAATGAGAGAGAAAGAGAGAAAGAGAGAGAGAGAAGTGTAGGAAAATAGGCAGAGGCTATCCAATTGTAGCATGACGGGTTGAACATTGGCTCAGGACTGTGGAGACTACCGTTCAAACTCTCATTCACCGATGGAAACTTACTGAATGATCCTGAACAAGTCACATTCTCTCAGCTCCAGAGAACGGCAAGGGCAAGTGCGCTATGAACATATCCTGCCAAGAAAACTCTGTCTTAGGATCACCATAGATCAAAAATGATATGGAGGCATACAACAGCAATCCAGATTTTTGTTGCAAACAGGAACAACTTGATCATCACAGACTGATCTGTATCCTCATGGAATGTAGGGAAATACAGGCGGTAAAACATCTTGGACATTTCTTGCTAGAATGCAGGCTGCTTTATCAAAATCCTCTGTATAATCAAAGCTGCCAATGGCTATGTTAATCCCATGAGCCTTTCCATAAGGTGATCTTAAAACAGACCAAAAACATTTGACAGATCTGTCTACAAAAACACCTCCAAGTGATTCTAACAAGGAAGTAAAAGTGTGAACTCACTTCCTTGAAAATAATGTGTGCCTCACTCCCTTGAAAATAATGAGGAAAGGGCATGTGCTCTTATACATTCATCAAACAATGCTTGGAAGATAAGCAATTCCCCTGTGTCCCAAATTCTGTCTTTAAAGATAGGTATAGTATCTTACTATGGGTTTTGCTGGGCCACGAAACCTGAAGATGGTGCATGAGAATCCCCTTTTAACTATGACAGTGGTTCCCAACCTGTGGTCTGTGGACCACCAGTGGTCTGCAAGAACTAAAATATGGTCCATATTCTCATTGTTACTACACAATTGCAATGAGAGCGGCTGATCTCATGAAACCCACTTATAGTGCCGAGGCTTATTGAATATGGTTTTCTGTGGATGAGCAGATGGTGACTACTGGATGGCATATATTCTGTATCAGAAACTAGAGCTGATGTAGTCTATCCAATGCAGTTTTCTGAATCAGCACCCCAAATAACCAAATCAAATCTAAAGTTGACCAAAAAACTGATTTGTAACCTTTTTGGTACTAATGTTGGAGAGTTGTCCCTGGCCAATTGGTCCCTGATCAAAGTGGTCCCTGGTCAAAAAAAGATTGGGAACCACTGAACTACAAGGACAAGATATTTCCTGCAACATCAAAGTGAATATGTCACCATGAGGCCTTTTGATATGCTGCATATATTGTTTTCCCTGCTTGTGATATTGATTTATAATGTATGTGACCAAGAAAAGAAAGCTTTATCTGAAATCAAGAGGCATTCCAATAATTGTTTTCTCTTCAGCAAAGAAAAAATGGTAGGAACCCCAAAGAGTTATGATGTGTCAGGTCATGTTGTTGTTCATTCGTTCAGTCGTCTCCGACTCTTCGTGACCTCATGGACCAGCCCACGCCAGAGCTCCCTGTCGGCCATCACCACCCCCAGCTCCTTCAAGGATGTCAGGTCATACCTCTGTTTAAATGACTGTTCATTCCAAATCCAATTTAAAGGTTAAAATCCTTAAGATGATAGAGGGCCACTGAATAACGTTTAACCATTGATACAACACTAAGCATCTGGTCACAACCTTCTCTACTTTTGCATTAGTTTCTACATTTTAATTGATATACGTAAATATAAATTTGATGCAAATCAGTATATTCTTTTATCATCTTTTGGGGTGATGCATATGTTCCTAATTCCAACAGTATCCACAAATGGAACTTCTTCTGTTTTCAAGCCAGAAACGTTCTGTTTCTGCAAATAATAAAGTCTGATGAATTTGTTCAGTTCCTCCCCACTGCCTAATTTTTTTCAGCTATATGTATTCCCCACTTATACCTTTTCCTTTCTTTTTCTGCAGGTCAAAATCTGGTTCCAGAATAAACGTTCCAAGTTCAAAAAGATTATGAAGCAGGGTTCCAGCATACAAGATGATCACCTCCACAATTCCTCTTCTTTGTCTCCCTGTTCTCCCAATATACCCCCACTCTGGGACATCCCCATGGCATGCAAAGGAACCCCCCTCCCTGCTAACAGTTACATCAATAGCTTTGCACCTTGGTACCACCAGCCCCAACACCAAGACACCATGGGGAGGCCTCCAGTGATGTGACAAAAGCAGACAATGTAATTTTGGCCCATATGCTGTGCCTCTTTTTCTGAAGCTCTAATCAGGAACCCCAACACAGGACAATGGGGGCTACGGCTGGAGGGGTGGCACTTCTGAAGGAATCACCAGCATTTCTCTCTTGACGAGAAGCTCTTCAGCAGGAGATGACTGAAAATGTGGAGATGGACTTCCCTGACCTGTTCAAGGACCAGCTCGTAACAGCAGTAGCAGAGCATCTGAGGTGGAGATAAGGAACGCCTTAGACAACCACACCATGAAAGTTGAACTCAGAACTCCATTCCAAGTGCTATCACTTCATCTGGGGTTTACAAGAGTGGCGTCTATGTTCTTCTTTCATGGCATAGACCAGTGTTGGATCTAGCTGTGCTAAGTAGTTGCCACGGGTTGGCTTGGTTTCAGTGCCTTAAACAGTTTTGACCTTAGCAATTAAACAGGTTATATTTTTGCAAACATGGAAGTTCAGACCATGATGGCTTTGCATGATATATTTCTGCCTGCCACATGGCTGCTAAAGACATGAGAGCATTGGGTCTTTACTACCATCGATACCCAAATTAGTATGGTAAATTTCTGAACCGGATAGAATTCTGCATCAGACAGATGTGGGAGGAAGGAATGCAGAGTTCGACGGAATTGAAATAAAGACATGAAGGGACCTGGGTTAACTTGTGCCTCTGCAGCCATTGGACTCTTGCTCCCATCAGTCCCAGACAGGGATAATAGCAAGTAGAGTCCAGTAGCATCCAGATGACCACACTTCCTCATTGGCATAAACTCAATATGGGTGGGATAATAATACTTCTTAACCTGGAGAAAATACCATCTCTTTCCCTGGGATGAGAACTGGCAAGACCTTTTACCTAATGGATTCAATATGCCATACTCCCGCCTTTTAAAAAGTGTGATTATAGTTGTAAGTAAGCCAATATTCATACAGAGCTCCAGTTTGCTCACATTATAAAACAGGCTTTTTACAGAGCCAAATTTGCTTTCCTCTGTGTTACTGATACGCATTTGTTTGTTTGTTTTTTTAAAAATGTCATAAATACAGGATTATGTTTACAGTTAATGAAAAGTTTGTGGAATGTAATCCCAATTTCTCCTCCCTTTCCATTTTTGAAAAAGGCAATTCATATTTGTTACATGAAGTCCCCACCCATTCAAAGTCCCCGCCCATTGAGTTTATTTAACTAAACGATTTTAAAACTAATTTAACTTTTTTTTCTCTCCCCACACATTGCCAAGCATAATGATAACAAATTATTTATTAAAATAAAACTTTTGGTATATTGTATTGTTTTCTCTTTATAAACAGAATGTAAGCCGATAAACATTGGTTTTGTACAAATGATTGCTGTTGTGCTCTTTTTAATGGTTCTTCTAAAACAGTGGTGCCCAACCTTTTTTTGACCAGGGACCAGGAATCACTCTCCAACATTAGTACCAAAAGGATTACGAATCAATTTTTGGTCAAGTTTAGATTTGGTTTGGTTATTTAGGGTGCTGATTCAGAAAATTGCATTGGATAGACCACATCAGCTCTAGTTTCTGATACAGAATATATGCTATCCAGTAGTTGTCATCTGCTAGCCCACAGAAAACCATATTTAATATGCCTCAGCACTATAAGACAGTTTTGTGAGACCAGTCACTCTCGTTGCAACGGTGTAGTAACGGTGAGGCCACAGATCATATTTTAGTTCTTGTGGACCACTGGTGGTCCATGGACCACAGATTGGGAACCACTGTTCTGAAGTCTGAAGTTAATACCGAGACTCTTGGTAAATCGATCATGACCTAAATTCTTGACAAGTCAGTTCAAATACAGTAGGGATGGAAAATATTAGGTCCTTCACAAGTTACCGGGCTCCAACACACATTATCTTCTTCCAGTATGAACTAGGATTTGGAAATTACAACAATTCCCAGCAAGCCCAGTGATCACATTGTCTAGGGAGTTATAGGATCTGTAGTCCAAAGCTTCTGTCATGGGCATGTATACAGTAAGTGTCATCCAACAGCATCTGAAGGACACCATTTCTTTCACCTCCAAAATATGGTATAAATTTTGAATCCACATCAAATCACATGCTGTTTCTCATTACCAAACATTTAGATGCTCAACATTTAGGGCCCCACAGAAAAAGCATCTAAAAGTTTGGTAATCAGAAACCTCATGTGATTTTATGTGGATTCACCATTTTACACCATTAGCATAAAAATCTTTGGTTTGGGGCAGGCCCGTAGCCAGGATTTTGATTTGGGGGGGGGGGGTCGATTTTTTTTTGGGGGGGAGGGCTGAGTCTGAGTGAAAGAGGGTCTACCCTAGCAAACCTTTTGTATCATTACCCCAATACCCCCATGCATATGGGATATATTGAGCATGGTGATCAGATCATGATATGAATAAACATAACAGTTTAAATAATGCACCAGTAAGGCCTTCTCGCGAACCACCATGAGAATTTCGGGGGGGGGGCTGAAGCCCCTCAAGCCCCCCCCCCCCCCCCTCGGCTACATGCCTGGTTTGGGGTGAACTGCTTCATGCCCTCTAGTACTCACATATGAAAACTGGAACACTTATGAACAATCAACAAAAAATTGTGGTCAAGATGGCAACAGTTATTAAAGCAGAAGAACAAATAATCTAGGAGATATTGTAGCAGTTTGCTCTTGCCTGAACCAACAGGGAAGGACAAAGGCACATTCTCTCTTCTCCCTTCCTGTTGAATAAATTGAGCACAAACCACTCTGACTTCAACATGCAGTAACTGAACGAAATAGAGGACAAAAAGATGTAAAAAGCAGTGGAGGATTAATCAAGTCTATCCCTGCCAAATCAAAAAAGTTCGGGGTATATGACCCCAACAACTTCCCAGATCTAGCCAACAATGTTTCCCTACACCTAACATGTGGAGTAGTCGTTTGAGCATTGAGCTACTACACTGGACCAAGTCGGATTTAAATTCCCACCTAGTCATGGAAACCCACTGACTGACCTTGAACAAGTCACACTCTCTCGGTCTTAGAGGATGCCAAAGGCAACCTCCCTCTGAACAAATGTGCAGTCCCATTTGGATATCGCCAGCAATGCTGCCTTTCACGTTTGTCTCATGATAACCTTTTCATGAGTCTCCCTGGGAATGTTGCCTCACCGCACCTTAGACTTCAGGATGTAAATTATCCTAATCCCCTCACAATGCCCCGGGAAGACACGGAAATCACACAATAGGCTTGCACAAGAGCCCGGGGGTCTTCTTCCTTTTCCTATCTGATATGATCAAATTTATTGCTGGGAACTCTTCCTTTTCGCTGTCCCTAATCCAGACCTTTCCCTGGGGTTTCCATTGAAATTACCAACTTCCGAAGTGCCTTTTGTTTATCTGGACTGACACCATTGTGTGAATCAGAGCGTGAACATCAAAACCCATTTCAGCTCATTATTGCATGAACCACCACATTCTTCCTGAATAACGCCCCTCTCAGACTGGATCAATAAATGGATGCAAGATTCAAAATAATTGAATGACTGTTTATTAAAATTTCCTGCCATGGTGGAAACCAACCAGCAATGATGTTGGAGGGAAGCCTGAGCAAACCATGTAGCAGATCCTAGCTGGACACTTTCAGGACCAGTCGGAAGATAGCATGGGAGTCATGAATAGCTGTCAAAATATAATAAATATGTTCTGTATTCACAATGGAAGTATGCCAGTTCTTTGGAGTGCTGTCTCTACTGACATCCTCTCTGGCCATTGAAAAATAAACCTCTGATTTTGCCTTCAACCCATCTGTGACTCATCTGGCCTTCTGGAATGCTAGACATACCAGGCTCTGAACCCATGGCTCTTGCAAAAGCTAAAATCACATAACATTATCGTTCCCAGAATTTCCCAGGCAGCACAACTACTGGCAAGGAGATTTGGATGAGGTTGCACTCCATAAAAAGAGTATTTTTCTGGCATCTGGTTCAGTTCTTAGTGGATGGCACTATGTGACAGCAATGCTGAATACAGGCATTTGAATTTCCCACAATGCACTGGAGTATCAGGAGATAAAGAACATAAAAACAAAAATATGGTTTACAAATTCAAATGTTGGTGTTTACAACCTCCATGTGGAAGCTGCTTTCTGTCTGTTGGGTTCTAATACTGGGTCTGTGACCATATAGTTCAAGACATTTCACTGTCTAAGGAATAGGACAAATAGGACATGCCACCCAGCTCAAGTCAAGAACCATAGTCCTCAATGCTTGATATATCCCAAAACATTATTAACCTAGTTTAGGAAAGCAATTGTTTCACACTATATCTTCAAGAATTTCCCAGTAAACAAAGTGAGTAGTGCTTCTCTCACTTTCTCCTAGCCCTTGTTCAATAATAAGTTAAGGAATTATTTGCTGCCCTTCTCTGATAGTGAAATATTTGTGCCTTGAGGTGACTGCCTCATTATTGAAATAGTGCAAATAACCCTGACCCATTCAACTGAATAACCCTGAATTGTCTTGACTGGGCAGGGACAGTCCTCTTTTACATCATAGCATCTTAACAACAGCTGTACGGCCCTTCTACAAAATATAACTATTTTTCCTTTGATTTTTATTATAAATCATGGACTCGTTTAGTAAAAAGTCAGCCCTACATATCTTTAGATTCTGCATCTGCAGATTCAACCATTCACAGCTCAAAAATATTTTAAAATATTCAAAAAACAAACCTTGGTTTAGTTTTTCTATATAAGGGAAATATTGTATATAGTGGGATTTTAGTATTGATGGGGTTGAGAGTACTGGAACCAAACCCCAGCAGATCCCAAGGACCCACTGTATTTCTTTCTTCTTTCTCATCCTTTCCAAATCTATTTCTCAATGTACCTCACTCACATTGATCAATTAACATATTAAGCCAAAGAAAGGAGTCCTTCTTTTTTCATCATCCCTCTTGGTTTTCTGAACCTGGCTCCTGGATAGTTCTACTATTGGTTTTCTGAGCCTTGCTTCTTCTGGGTGTTGGCCCCACAACTCTTGAACACCTGCAGGAACTGACCTGAGAGCATCTTAGCCTCAGCATCATGGGAGGTGATACGTATAACACCAAAGCATAGAAAGAGTGAGTCATCAACACATCCTCTTTCCACACTTCTGGAATCTCAGGTCAACAGGTATGACCAAGCTGGGATCAAGATATTTTGCTGCCTGAGGTCTAGGATGAGATGGTGACCTCTCCCCATCCCACATACAGAAACTAGATTGGCAGTTGAAACTTCCTTCAGTACTGGTTATGTGACTATGTTTTCCACCACACCTGAAGCGGAAGGCTTGGTTAGGCTGATCTTAAGATTCATCCTGTTGTAGGCACAGCTTTGTTCTCCATTGGAGGGAAATAGCCAGGAAGATGAAGAGGAACAGCTAGGAGGCTGCCTCTGTTGCTTTGGGCATTTGCTGCTTAGGGCAACTGCCTCCTTTTCCCTAATGGCAGGGCTGGTCCTTCGAATAATGTTTTGCCAGTTGCCACAC